AACTGCTGAACTGATTGCGTACCAGCAGTTGATCCCGACTGCTAACCGCCAGTTCTTCCCAAGCGCGTGGCTAGAGTACGACCGCCAGCTGCGGATGCTCGTGGCCCAGTATCCAGGCACGAAGAGGTTGGACACCATCGACGTGAACCTATGGCAGATAGCTGTCACAGGCCATGCACACCCAAAATGCGCTCAATGTAAGACGTTCCATCCAGGGGCGGTTTGTGTCCTTTTCGTCTCCAAGCCAGCAGCATTTACCTCCAGTGGTCGCAACCATACTAGCGACGGCCAAGAAATCTGCCGCAACTTCAATGGAGGTCGCTGTTCTTCATCGTCGTGCCGCTTCTCCCACACCTGCAGCCAGTGTGGCAAGGACCACCCATGCATCATGTGCAGCCAGCAGCAGCGCGGAGCCAATCGGCCACCCCGCCGCTCCTAGCAGAATGGCTACTGAATCGCTTGACTCGGTATGTAGCTTCTTTCCTATACACTCTGCAGACACCACACCGCTAGCTGACCACTTTGCCCGCCTGTTACGTAACCACTCAGATCAATCATGTGTTGCGTATGTTCTCCATGGCCTGCGCCGTGGCTTTACTATTGGATCTGCCGGCCAACACGACATTTCGGTTTTCTCTAATAATCTACCCTTGGCTTTCACTCACTCGGCATTTATATCCGAGCAATTAGCTGCTTCCTGCGCCCGCAGCGAGACCACAGGCCCATTTCCGTCACCTCCATTTCAGTTCATGCGCCACTCTGGTATTGGTGCCATCCCCAAAAAGAACGGCAAGCTGCGAATGATCCACCATCTGTCTAGTCCGGAAGGCACCGGCGCGAACGACAGCATTCCTGCCGAGCCGCTCTCTCTGCACTACGCGAGCATTGACAACGCGATCAACATCATCAGGTCATGCCCACAGCCTGTGTATTTGTCCAAGCTCGATGTACGCAGTGCATTTCGGCAGATCCCAGTCCGCCGTCAGGACCTCGCTGGGAAGGCTCCTACTACTACGAGCGCTTTCTACCTTGCGGCCTCCGCTCCAGCCCAGCCGTCTTTGACTCAGTAGCCACAGCAGTCAACTGGATCATGCAGCACGAGTTTGCTATAGATCACCAGCTTCATTACCTCGATGACTTTCTCGACATCTCCACTGGTTTGGCTGCAGCCAACCAGCAACTCACCATCCCCCTCCGGGCATTCACGTATCTCGGCACTCCTCTTTGCTCCATCCCAGCTCGAAGGGCCACCACCATCATTGACCTTCCTTGGTATTGTCCTAGACTGCGAGCGCCACGAAGCTCGGCTACCAGAGGACAAGCTGTCCGAGATCCGTGCGCCACTCATGGCTACTATCAGCGAGCGCAGCATCGGCCAGCGTCAACTCGAGTCCCTCCTGGGGAAGCTCACTTTTGCTGCCCGAGTCATCGTTCCTGGACACACATTCATGCGTGAACTATGATCAGCGTGCCCTGAACTGTATCTGTGTATGCGAGTGCGGTGCATAAAGCCCACCTTGAGAATGGGTTTGCCGGCCCCTTAGTAGATGCGTGGCTTCTGAAGAGGGTGTTGAAGGGCATCCAGCGATGCCATGGTACGGCTGTACTCACCCCTCGCCTTCCTATAACTATGCCAATCCTACGACACCTGACGGATGCACGCCGGAAAGGTAGTATCCTGAATGGCCATGACAAGCTGCTCTACCAAGCCGCCATGCTGCTTCTTTGGATTTCTTCGGTGTGCTGAATTTACTAATGGCATCACACGGGGCTGTACTAGCTCTCCTGGTGACGGACGCCTGCAACTCTTCCTGCTTTCATCCAAGACGGACCCATTCGGTAAAGGCGTTACTAGTGACATTGGCCCGTCTGTACCGCCGTACTGCCCGATCCGTGCCATTGTTAGCTACCCATTTGTCACTCGTCGCGAGGGACCGGAGCAACTCTTGTTCGTACTCTCGAACAGACAGCAGCTGACCAGGCAGTCATTCACAGTAACAGTATGGTCTCTTGTCGCTGCGGCCGGTGTACCATCCCAGTCGAACTACTCCGGGCATTCGGTCCACATTGGTGCAGCCACCACCGCTGCTATGGCTAGTGCCCCCGACTCCTTCTTCCGAGTGGCAGGTCAGTGGAAAGAGCGATGCGTGTCTATGCTACATCCGGACTACAACAAGCGGTAAGCGCCAGCTATCGTCCTGGCTTGCTGCCGTGCCATGGATGACATGATCCCCAACTCGGGTGAGTAATAAGCTACTGAACTCTAGCTGCACAATGCTTGCCTGTGCTGACATTAATTGACCCCTGCTGTGCGTCAATAGTGCTTAGCTAACGGAGTGCTGGTTTCATGGGTCCACTCTCACAACTGGTGTTATCTAGCTATTTGCTGCGGCTCTGCCTTGCGCTATATTACATCCATTTAGCATTGCAGCTCTACGTTGAGCTAACAGCAGCTCTACTTTGAGCTAACAGCAGCTCTACTTTGAGCTAACAGCAGCTCTACTTTGAGCTAACCGCAGCTCTACTTTGAGCTAACAGCAGCTCTACTTTGAGCTAACAGCAGCTCTACTTTGAGCTAACCGCAGCTCTACTTTGAGCTAACAGCAGCTCTACTTTGAGCTAACAGCAGCTCTACTTTGAGCTAACAGCAGCTCTACTTTGAGCTAACAGCAGCTCTACCTTGAGCTAACAGCAGCTCTACTTTGAGCTAACAGCAGCTCTACTTTGAGCTAACAGCAGCTCTACTTTGAGCTAATCGCAGCTCTACTTTGAGCTAACAGCAGCTCTACTTTGAGCTAACCGCAGCTCTACTTTGAGCTAACCGCAGCTCTACTTTGAGCTAACAGCAGCTCTACTTTGAGCTAACAGCAGCTCTGCTCTGAGCTAACAGCAGCTCTGCTCTGAGCTAACAGCAGCTCTGCTCTGAGCTAACACCAGCTCTACTTTGAGCTTCAAACCAGTTGTTTCGAAACCAGCACTCCTCAATCCAAAGATGCCTCTTTGTTGACTTGTTTGTGTGAGGGATGGGGCTAATGGTGTACTAGCTGTGCTAGTACTTGTTAGCAACAATCCGAACTAGCGCACACACTGCACTGCATTGCTTTGTACTGCATTCAAGACTGACGTCATGCGCTTTGTTTTGCTGCGTAATCACAAATGGCACCAGCCCATTTTGCGGAAAAGAAAAACAAATCTTGCTTGCCCTGTTGTGCTCTTCCAGACAACGGATCGTGCTTCAGCAGTGTTTCTTTTCCCACCATCCCTCCCTATCCAACTTATTCACACCATCATAATTATCATACCCACTAATCGGGTCCACTCTCACAACTGGTGTTATCTAGCTATTTGCTGCGGCTCTGCCTTGCGCTATATTACATCCATTTAGCATTGCAGCTCTACGTTGAGCTAACAGCAGCTCTACTTTGAGCTAACAGCAGCTCTACTTTGAGCTAACAGCAGCTCTACTTTGAGCTAACCGCAGCTCTACTTTGAGCTAACAGCAGCTCTACTTTGAGCTAACAGCAGCTCTACTTTGAGCTAACCGCAGCTCTACTTTGAGCTAACAGCAGCTCTACTTTGAGCTAACAGCAGCTCTACTTTGAGCTAACAGCAGCTCTACTTTGAGCTAACAGCAGCTCTACCTTGAGCTAACAGCAGCTCTACTTTGAGCTAACAGCAGCTCTACTTTGAGCTAACAGCAGCTCTACTTTGAGCTAATCGCAGCTCTACTTTGAGCTAACAGCAGCTCTACTTTGAGCTAACCGCAGCTCTACTTTGAGCTAACCGCAGCTCTACTTTGAGCTAACAGCAGCTCTACTTTGAGCTAACAGCAGCTCTGCTCTGAGCTAACAGCAGCTCTGCTCTGAGCTAACAGCAGCTCTGCTCTGAGCTAACACCAGCTCTACTTTGAGCTTCAAACCAGTTGTTTCGAAACCAGCACTCCTCAATCCAAAGATGCCTCTTTGTTGACTTGTTTGTGTGAGGGATGGGGCTAATAATAATAATAATAATAATAATAAGAGGAAATCCTCGCAGTAAAGTAAATGTTCCCCTGCATCTTGTTTGCTGGCCTATCTGAAATTCTCGGCCTTCCATCTCGTTTGAGCTCTTTCTCTCCTCTCAAAATAATGTTTTCCTTTGTTCTCATCTCAATCTCTTTCCTCACCATAATAATATTTTCGAGGCGATCGAGGACGCGTCTGCTGATCTGACGCGCGTGCATGTCAGCAAGTACAAAAATTCGGTTCGTCATGGTTTTGATGTGAAAATGTAATAATTCGCTTCGCATTATAAAATACCGATGGGATTTGTCAAAAACGGCGCAAAAGCCGCCATATTGTTAGATGGCCAAGTGGGAACAGCCGTGTAGTTGCGTGATGTCTGCGGCCTTCATCCTATTCATAGCTTTATCAAAAATAATGTGATAAAGGTCTTTTTGAAATATGAACTTGATCACTATAGGCGATATATTACTATAGACGATTATTACTATACGCGATAACTGTATACTTAGTTATGGCAAATGAAAATGAATTTGAGAAATTGATCACTATGTCCGGTATTTTACTATAGCCGCCAACCTTATAGGCGATACGGACTGTATTGTGCAGTGGGTGAGTAGTGCTCAGACTCTCGGTCAAATCAACTATAATGCCTGTTGCTGATTTTTGAGCTACAGTATAGCTCCCGATATGGTCATCACATCCAAGTCCACCTGTTGCTATGACAAACACATGCAAGTCTGGCTATTGCTGTGGCAATCACTAGCAAGTCTAGCTTTTGCTGTGTTTGCAGAATGTCCCATGACAAGACTGACTATAGGTAGGATCACGACACAAGTCCGGCTATAGCTGTGATCATTATGAGAAGTCTGGACATACATGTGGCTCTAATCACATGACAGGTCTAGTTGTAGCTATGACTGCAAAACCTGTCCAACACCAATATTTTAATGAAATCTAAGCCATACACGCATGCACCGGACCAGTATACCATCTTACCTGGAAGGCAGTCGTTTTGTTCTCCCAGCGTTGAGTTGAGGAGGTGACGCTTGTAGGCTTGGGGAGCCATGTTGACTTGTTTGAGATCCATTTCCACCCGTTTGTGTATCTCGCTCCCTTTGCAGCTCCTCCATGGTTGCGGTGAGCTCCGCCAGATTCTTCTTGGCATTATCCAACATTGCTCCGTTAGAGTTAGACTGCTCCTGGACTAGCTTCGTTACTCGATGCTGAGTCCCCAGCGCTGCCTGGCATGAAGCCAATGCCTCATGTAAGACGGAATTTTCATTTCGAAGCTCTCCCAATTGCTTTTCCTTTATCTGCAGAATCTCATTTTTGACATGACAACCAGGACAACTAGGCTGAGTGTGATGACCAGGATGAATACTGGGATGACTGGGATGAATACCGGGATTAGTGTGACGAGTAGGATGACCGGGATGACTTGGATGACTTGGATGACCGGGATTATCTGGATAACCGGGATGACTTGGATGACCGGGATTAGCAGGATGACCGGGATTACTTGGATAACCCCCGGGATTAGCAGGATGACCGGGATTACTTGGATAACCCCCGGGATTAGCAGGATGAGTGCGATGAGTATGGTGCAATGGATGAACAGGATGCCCGGAACTGGGGTGAGTGGAATGACGAGGGTGGTGTAATCTAGCGTCAGATGTTCGCGTATCACTTTCATTGTCAGTGCTACTACTGCTACTGCTGCCGCTTGTATTACTGCCACTGCTACTACTGCTGCTGCTGCTGCTGCCGCTGTTACTGCTACTATCCGCACTGCCGCTACTTGTCGTATGCTGTCTGCTGGCAATAAATTCACTCTCTATATTACCGCTATCTAATAATCTTGACGGTTGCGATGATTGTGGTGATGCTGCTGGTTCCAAGACGGGAATGGTTGTATGCTGTCTGCTGGCAATAAATTCACTCTCCATATTACCACTATCTAACAATCTTAACGGTTGCGATGATTGTGGTGATGCTGCTGGTTCCAAGACGGGAACCGCACTACTGTTGGAGAGGTCTTCACTTGATGATGCGCGTTTGCTGGCCGGCAGTCCCTCACTTGGTGATGGTGTGTGCGCAGTCATGGTGGGCTGCTTGTTCATACCACTAGGACCGTTATGATACTGGTTCAGCGGCAATGAGAAAGATTGCACATCGCTTGCGGGAGATTCCACATTGATAATATTTGGCTGGCTTTCGCCATATTCATTTTCTGCCAACCTGCCATCGCTACGTCCATGCATTATTGTGTGTCTCTTCCCAGGTGATTCACCTCTGATTCTCGGTGCCTGACCAATAACAATCACAGCAAGAGAGAAAAGCAGGAAACAAGAACAACAAAATCTAAGACCTAATCATTGTGGCGAAATCTGGCATGTCTGGCTGCATTTTACCAGCTATTCGTGCGTCAGTCAAGTGAAAATTCACAGCGGCAGTAGAAATGCAAGCTCCTACATTAAAACACGTATGTTTACCACCTAAGACAGTAGGCCAAACTGTGCAGTTCCTTACGTTGGGCAATAGATTTGCTGCATTGTCCAGGGTAAGTTGTTGGGGCTTCAAGGACCACTCCTACTACATTCATGTACAGTTGACCGGGTAAGTGATACAGCTCTAGATGGAAGTGTGAAATATGCCACTGGAAATTTTGTGCGAAACGAAGGTATACGTTGTGTATGCATGGCAAAACGAGAGATCAAATTGTAGACACCAAGCGTAAAGAGTCCGCGGGGATATGATGAAGCGTGAAGCAAGATAATTCTACTTCAGAAGAAGAAAAACAAGCCCAGATTAAGGTCTCTCCGGAGCACCACCGTGGCTGCTGTTATTTTTAGTTGAGCGGAGCCCGAGTTTCTCACCCTATGAGTGATAAAACATTGATGGAGCAAATGGTGCTGGCATTCACTACCTGCACGTGCTGATTTGATCTCTCCCCTTACTGCCTGTATGCCTACTAACGTCACAGTGGTTGAAAAAAGTGAGTGAATTATCGTGTCCGTTCCCAAAGTGAACTCACGACGGCCGCTAACACCCGGTGAACCCTAGCGTGGCAGCTGCACGTGACAGGGGCTACATTCACATGGTTATCATACCCTGACTAGATCTAACAGACTTCTAGGTCAAAAGCCGCGGCACACTCGGCCATTCGAAAATAATTTGAAACTGTCCACCTCTCCACACTGCACTCTTGGCCTACATTCACAACACAACCTTCTAGCCATGACTACTATCCAACGCCAATTATCCAACAAGCACACAACAGTGGTTCAACTACGTCTCTTCCCTGCTGTTACTTGTGTGGAAAATATGAATCAGACAGCATAACAGTACGACATAATTGAACTATTGTCGTGTGCCTATTGCATTGCTAGCTGTGTCGCAAAGTTGTGCACTGGAAGTTGTCCGCTGAATGAAGGTTGTGTATTAATAAAGTAAACCTGCTTTGAAGGACCTTTGCTTAAGGCAACCACCTGCCTTTAGTGACCACACTTAATGCTAGGACACCTCTGCACAGAAAGTGGCCATATTTCAGCGACATCTTGCCATACATGCGCATCACCTGCCAACAGCTAACAAATGTACATGCTAGGTCCTGCAGTAGCTTTGCAATGTAAATTGGCAGACCAAGGTCTAAAAAGTGTTGACAGGTTGCCAAAGTGACAGGCCAGTCCAATGAGCCATAGGGTGGTCGTATAAACTAGGCTTGACGGTACCACATGCGAAATAATTAATCATACGTATGCTCGGTGTCAGAGCCCAGAAAGGTTATTGTTTTTCATTTTATCTATTCCGTGAACTGGGTTCTCCACAGGCAAATAGATCTTGTATCTTGGGCTTTTGCTAAGAGTGCAGTGTTGGAGAACAAGAGATGATATACAATAGGCAGGGAAGTAACGAAATGGACATGTGTACATGTGTACATGTGTACATGAGTACATGTGTACATGTGGACATGTGTACATGAGTAGCTGAAGATACAGCAGTTTCTTAGAAACTAGAAACTATCGGCCATGGATATAGTTTAAAGATTCGCACATCTGCGTTACAAACGGCTTAGGAAGTTTTGCTCATGCCAGGTCACTACAATGCCTGTACGACCAGGGTGGCAGATGCAGCGCCTAACGGCGAGGGTCCATGTTAGTATTGTTACCCTCACTTCCAGTAGTGAGTACCCAGTTGACCGTGGGTGTCGGCGCACCTCCTTGCGGGTATAGTGGCTCACGCATGCATCACCGCATTTGTTAGCACAGTACACACTGGTCTCTAACTCAGGGCCTTTTGATTCGCAGGCAAGCAGACAACCACTCGGCCAAAGCGCTGGTCTGGATATAACGTACTTTTCCTTTTGAATCTACACGTGTGCAAAGACGTTACTTGCAGCTAGTGGCGTCTGGTGTAGCCGGGGTCCACAGAGCTCGACTTCGTATAGTACGGCCATCGCAGCACATGGCTGATGATTAAGGTAATGCCAAGGAGCATAGCGAGGGACCTAGCCTAAATCTCTTCATTCTCTTTGCACCGGATGCAAAGTACGCCTATGATGGCAGTCATTGGACTTCGGATTCAGAATACCTTGGCTGTCAAGTGCTAATGTATTACATGTCCGTCCCTTGCAGGTAGGCCAGCCTGACATTTTACTGTGGTGGTGGTGATCAATGCTGTCTGATAATCATCCATCTAGTGCATGATGCTGCAGACAATTACAGTAGCTAAAGACCTTCACCTTCTATTCTTGTGCATCATCTTTCAGGACTGGCCCGGATCGAGCATACTTGTGCCTGGTCTCTCCACTGCAGTTTAAGTTAACTACGCCAAAAATCAACTTGTTATACAGTATCCGTGTAACACTCACTGACCACAGCTACCTGTTATCCCAGACTATCATACTACCCCGGTGTTCTATTCTGCCGCACATGGCAGGAACTGCTGTGATGCTATCAATAGTACATCTTCAGCTAGAGCTCATTTACACACAGTTTTCAGGTTTGGTACGTACGTCTACTAGCCATAGGACTGGCTGGCCTAATGGCCAGATGCTTGAAGCGAGAAACACTGGCCAAGACATGGATTCGGGGTGGGAGTAAGGACCATCACAAGAGTCCTCTGTCTTCCTGTACATACTGAGAGATACATGCACTGTTTTCTATTAGCTGTGCAATCTCAAACCACAAAAAAACTGATCTCCTTTCCCCCCCCCCCCCCCGTGCTGGTTGTTTACAACACCACGGGCCAAAACTCAAAACTCGCTCATGCCCCTTTTAAACCCTTACAGGCATGTAGGAGACAAAAAGGCAGCAGTCCTCAGTAATCAAGGAGGCAAGGTGGCGGCACAATCAACCCTCTCAAACGCAAAACTAATAATAGTAATTAGAAGGTGTTGCAGCGGCCTGGAGCAAGCCAAAACAGGTCCTAATTCCACTAATGACCTAATGATGGCATTGGGGCTGCCGCCCTGGTGTTGCCAGTGGCATGGCAGATCTAGCCATGGCTGCTGCTGCTGCTACAACTGTCTCTACATGCAGGCATTCCAGTGAGCAGGCTGCATGATATGTCTGAAGTAAACTATGTTTGTCCTTGTGCTCTTCAACACCCTTATCATCTTCTTGACTTCAACACACTTAAGTACACAACACACACATAGTCATAGAGAGAGAGGGGACATGCTACACAGAGCTAGGTACATAAAATGTCTCCAGGGGGACCAAGTCAGCCAGGCTACAGTACATGACATTGTACTACTACTAGTACAATACACTGACACATACATACACATACACATACACATACATATACACATACACATACACATACACATACACATACACATACACATGCACATGCACATGCGCACTGCAGCTCCTACACAGCAATGTGTACAATGTGCATGCAGCCAAGCAGCGGTCTGGGTATCATTATAAGCAGCCCCCCCCCCCCCCAGCCTTCCCTAGCCTGCACTGAGCAGCAGCAAGTTGTACTTGTACTTAAGTTGTAGCCTAGAGCTGGGGTACAAGGCTAGCCACTTCAGAACACCACAGGGTCTCCATTGTGGCCAGAATGGCTTGTGGCACAACTTACACAACCGCACACTAGATAATCAAGGAGAGGCACACAGAGAATTTCACCGCAGGCAGCACTGCAGGTTAATAAGATAATGACCCACCTCCCTCATTAGCACATTTTCCTTTCATGCCATCAATACAGCACTTGAGATTACCGCCAGCCAGCAGTCCTCCCGTCCCTGGAGCAGCCTCTGTTCCACAAACACACCGGTACTGTGTTTCCCACAGCCCGCCCGACGCCCAGTCAATGACTAGCTAATCACTGACAAAAACCAACAGCGCCTAAAACAACACATCCAATTAGTACGCTGATCTCATGATGCAACCTTGTTTGGCATATGGCCAGAAGCAGAGAAGTAAAGCCAAACTAAAGCGGGATGTTCCACTGAATGCCTATGAATGCGTGTGTGAAAGCAACCAGATCACATGACACAGAATCATTATCAGAGTCTGGTCTGTGTTGCCATTTCTTGCCACAGCTGCCGCAACAGTGTGATGGCTTCCTCCTCCCAATACTTCAGCATCATCACATGATCTTAATAATTGTTAATGTTGAAGGTCCGTTTTTCACCTAACATTAGCAATATGCAGAGGAGTAGTCCATGCACGCATGGTGCAAAGAGGACTCACTGAACAGCTGGTGTTCGTACTGCACTGCTGCTGCTGCTGCTGCCGCTCTTTCCTGTTCGTGCAGGCTAGCGACACCCAAGCCGAGTTTCGGAAGTACATCATGTTCCCTGTACCACCTGTGCCTGCCGCTGTCCAGAGCGGCTCTGATCTAGTCCTGCTTCCCATCCAACAATATGCACCGACTGGATACTGGTGAGAGTGTGCTGAGGTGTGGAAATCACAAGCCCTCATCCACACACCCAGGGGCTCTGAGAGTATTCAAATCACCTACTGAGCATCTCACATCTGGAAGTTCCAAACATGCACACACCGTGCAGACACATAGTGCGGATACAGTGCAGCCGTAACACCATTGTGTTACACTACCACGTCTAGATACACCTGTCAGGAATTTTAAAGTCGCTCTTCCTGTCCTGTACGCTCTGAGGCACGCATCTTCTCACAACGGTACTTATAAAGGATCGCCACACATGGCCAGCAGTAGCAGCCAATGACAGTAGTAGCTGCAGCCAGTAGCAATTAGCAAAATAGTAACGTCAGCACCTGCTATCAGCCACCAGGGCACAGGCTACATGGCTGATCAGGTGAATGTGACCGACAATGACAGGTAGTAATAGCAGGCCAAGGTTCCCTAGTTTCCCCCAGACTGGCCAGAGTGAGGTGGGAGCTAAGCAGCAGGTCCTAGGCAACTCTCTGTTCAAGACTGTTGTGTCTTCCTAGTACTAGCAGTGCTGTAGGCCAAACGCTAAGGTGGCATCCGTGTACATGTTCTAACTACACCAACACATAGAATCTTCTCCTATCTGTACATTCTACATCAATTCAGACACTGTTTCAAGCGCCAGTCGCTAGTGGACATAGTATCTTTTGATGCTCCCTGGAAGTCACTAAACATCCAGTGAAGCCTTGCTACGTTAGCGCCTGCTATTCCCCAATACTGCTGAGTCAGCATGTTGTAGATTGTATCTTTCTCCCAGGACCCTGTGCGTTGCAAGTTAAACTGTGATATGAACATGTCTCATAGATCACAACGCATCATGACGAACTGATTGTGTGCTGCTCAGTGACGGTGATAAGCCAGGAGACAAATTCTTGCCTGATGAAAATCAGCCACTCAATCTGCAAGGGCAACTACTGTTTCCTGCTCCGCACCGCAGGCAGCCAGCCTAGAAGACCATATTGACAATGCCCCCCCCCCCCCTCTCCATAATCCTCATGCCATGACATGCTTGCTAGCTATTCTGGAGTCTGTATTCCAAAATAGCACATGCCTGCGTGCACAAGCCCAACAGGCCCCACTTTGTTCACCAACATTGCCCAACTGCTGCAGGAGGTAGCCATGTCAGAATGATAATGACTTGGTGACGCAGGGCAGGACCAATATCCACAAACATGCTGGTCACAAGGCCACAGAACACTGAACCACATGTGTGCCTCACAAGCTGCCGCTAAATGAGTAGTGAGAATGTCAGCCACTTATGAGCCCCACTTCCAAACAAAGATGATATTCTGCCATTTGGGATTGACAGGCCAGAACTACCAGTGCTCTTGGCTAATGCTTATCGCTCTGACACTATTACAAGGATTTCCATACAAAAACACAAGCACATCAAGTGAATGGGTCTTGAAAATACACGACCTAATCGCAATGTCTGATTTGCTATTGATGCCAGTGGCCCAAGGCAAGAGCATCTAACCAACCCACTTCACCTTGAAGAGGCCCGGGGAAACAGCCATCATCTGGGCTGCCTAGGCAAACATAATAATATGTAGTGCATGTACAACTGACCTACATCATGATATCAGTACATGTAACTGACCCACATGTATCTCAGTACAAACTCCTGCTCAGTCAGTGCTGTTGCTGTTGCACAGCTCAGGCTAACAGAACAGCTAGCTAACCACCACTGTGACAACCACTGTGACAACTAATACATGTACTTGACCATGTGGTAGTAAAACAGGAAAGATAAAACACAAGGTCTAAGGCAGTATAGTTACTGCTAGTGTACATGCGATTTAGTGTCCCACCCGCCCGTGTGGATTCACAGGAAGTGGATTTTAAAAGTCTCTGCTGGGATGACGACTACACCATAGGTCAGTGGTTGTATGATGCCTACAACTAGTACTGTGCCAGGGTCCCTAGTTCGAGTACTAGTACTGTGTCACAATGTGTGTCTTTCCCTCAAACAAGTGAACATTAAGGTGGCTGGGGCGGTACAACTTTCTTGGGAAATTTTTGACTGTATTTTTGAGTTTATCAGCAAGGCAGAGATGAAATTTGAAAATGTTTTCTGGGGAATCTCTGGAGAATAGCCTTCTCTAGCTTCCTCTAGTTTTAGTTTTACTTTTAGACAAAATTTGAAAACGTTTTATGAAAGGTTCGTGTTATTTTTCACGGACCTTTCATAAAACTTTTTCAAATTTTGTCCAAAAGTAAAAATAAAACTATTCATCTCGGACTTGCCGATAAACTCAAAAATGCAGCCAAACTCGATTTGCAGCCCAATCTCTTCTTTTATTGCTGTTCCGATTTGCACTTGTTTTTCTTTCTTCTTCTTTTTTCTTCTTCTTTTTTTGCCATGGCTGGCTATTCGCCCTCACCTCCTCCTTGATTGGCCTTGGCCATGAGTGTGTGCGTAATAAAAAATATAAAAAATGTATTCAAAATGACCTCTAAAAAGTTGTACCGCCCCAGCCACTTTAATGATTTGCTCTTGGACGGTTTTCTCCATTGTAGGCACTCAGACACGCAGGCACACATCTCACCTGACAAACAAGTGTTCCAATCACCGTCGGCCTGATTCCAGATACAATAACTGCTGAACATAGTACTAGGCACAAGGTCAATGCATACATCGCTCTGATCCCAACAAAAACATACTCAGTAAGCACAAGGTCAATAAAACAACACTGCCTCAATAAACATGAAAACAGACTGACTGCTCTGGAGGCAGACTTTTCATCTTTGTACTAGTACTAGTAGCATCTCCTCGCAACGATGTTTCCCAGTATGGCGAGTCTTCCCACACTAAAGCCTAAGGTGACTTCTCACCAAGTGCGAGTGATGCATAGCTACTAATCTGTATGAGGGCGACACCAATTCTTTATCCTCCACTCTCCACGTACAAAACCGCTGTAATATCTGTCATGGAAAATTACTTTCCCCGTAATCGACGATATGCCAACCACATGCAGTAAATAACTCTACAAAGTTTGAGTTCTAACAATAATAGAACACGTCAACAGGACAAACAATACTCAATAGTTCGAATCAGCTCTCGATCTCAGCACGACATCACTCATCACTCTAGCGTCCGTTCAAACTAACGAGACACGTACACCTACTACTACTAGAGTATAGACTTAGTAGTACTAGTAGTACCCGCACACACTGCAACACAGCGAAGGACATGCGCTGCTGAAACTCACAGGGTTTGGCTTCGAAGCCCACGTAGGTGTACGTCCTGGCTACACATGGAATACGTTATGTTGCATCGATGTATCCAAACCAGCGTTTTAGAGTTTTACTTTTAGACTTTAGTTTAGTTTAGCGTGGCTACAGTACAGAATACAATTACAAGCAGTCCACTCTACACCACAGACAGACAGTACTACACTCTAGACTAGAGTACAGACTCAGTGACATGATAATAACTACACTATTCCTGTAGTAGTAACTCACACATGCACAGGTACTGAGGTAGCGTGCTATCACTACGACACTACGACACTACTAGCATAAGAAAACTAGAAACTACTCCAGTACTTGTTCGAGCCAGGTGACAGTAGCAAGGCCGAGTCACTCATTTGAAAATAATTATGACATGCTTACCCTGTGGAGTGTGGGTGACTGTGGCGTGTTGCGTAGGCAGGAATCCGCTTCAGAACATATCGTGATACACACTAGTCAAAATATATTACTAGTGAAGCTCTGGGAACTGATCAACAGCAACACCGATTCGTGACGACCACCATACGGTGTGCTACAGGAGAGGAATGGCTCTGTCTAGCAAAATCCCCAACAATACGCGCAGGGTCTATAATTAAAGTGTTAGCTGCAGCTGGTAGATCTACTCGGACAGGAGGTAGATATTATGAACACTGCAGTCGAAGTGCAAAATACTCATCACAGAGAGATTGGGTTGGTAAGACTATAAAAGCTAGTGCTACGCAGCGCACAGACTCGAACGCGCACTCATGTGTACGTTCGTGAAAATGAGTGTCCATCGGAGACGGGCTCTGTACTAATAATAATATGAATCGCCTGATGAGTAGCTAGGCAAGGCCATAAACTATGTAAACACTGAAACAGCCCAATATTAGCGTAGCGGCACTTGAGCGCGGTGCGCGCAGTGGCTGATCCTGGATCCATGTACGGTACTGCATCTTGTCGCGGTCCTGCGGCCTAGCTAGCTATACGTACATTGTAGCTCTTCAGATCTCGATCCTCTCACTTAGCATGCACACCTAGAAGGGCCAGGGCAGGCCGGGGGAAGAGTATTAAAAGTCATGTACTTTTTACAACCGATATGCCGGTTCCGCTACTACCTATAGCCTAGGCGCTAGGGGTTTGATCAGACTCATAAGTCATAGTCGAGTCATACCACAAGTTGTGGTATGCGGCATAGCCACATTTTGATGAATAATACTCTCTTTCATACTCATACTCATAGTATTTGTTCCATCAAATGTTCACGTAAAAACTTGAATGATGGAAATATTGTCTTATATTATTATTGATTTCTCCCTGATCCTCCTCTAGGCCTTTGCGGATATTGCCGGCAGAAAAATTGGCAGAATTCGGTACTTTTTCTGGTAAGTTTCATGCATGTTTGGTATACATGTAAATAATTATGTGGATAGAAATGGAGCAGAATTCGAGGAATTGCCCGCCATAAGGTTTGTATGGTTCTGCCAATTTCACTGCTTTTCGAGCAGAATCTGCCACCTTTTCGAGCATTATCCGGCAATGCCTATCCTCCTCCCTCCGCGGATCCCTCACCTCGCTGATTGTTCACAGGGCGGGGTTGACATGTTGGATGCGTATGACGACAACATACAATGTAGACAGTTGAACATGATAATTTTCAAAGGTAACAATTAAACTATTTTTAGCAATGACAAAATATTTTGGAACAATCAACATTATTTTGCAAATAATGAATGGAAGGAGTCATGTTTTCTCTTTTCTATGTTGATCTCTAGCATGAACGGACACCTTGGTACTAGGATACTCATGTATTTTGTTGTGCTTGCGAATAATATTATTATTATTGAGGACACTTGCAAGTACGAAAAACGCACAATTTTCCCAACTTTGAGGCTCCATAAGTGCAACGAAGTGAATGCGTATAAATGATCCCAAACTTGGGCCAAAGCTGAATGATCCCAAAGTACAATAATTATGAGGATTTTGCGGGCATAATGCGAGCATCCTTGAAAGCATAATTCCATGATTTCGCGAGCATAATCCACTGGAGCCTGGTGCGCTGAGCAGGAACAGGTACTGTTCAAAAGAAGACTGGATGCATTGTTGCGGAAAGAATTGCTACGATGTTGGGTTGTGAGGTCGATAGGGAGTGAGTTGTAGAGGGTGAGGGCACTGTTGACGGGGGAATCTCTGTGCCTGTTTGTGTTATTTCACCATACACCTACAGTATACAATCATGTTGGTGTATCGTGTTTTCACAAAACGAGACCAACAGGGACCGAAGTGGTCTTGAGGGCACGAACATCTCCTCTCTCGATCTCCTACACTCGATGCGATATTCTACCTGGCCACGCCGAAAACGCACTGCGATGTGATGTCGGTTCTCCCATCGGATGCATTACATTTTTTTTTAATGTTTCCACAAAATCAGGTCTGGGTGCGAGGGAGTCATTACTCTGGCCCTCTGGGGGCCGTCCATGTGTCAATACCATGAATATAGTAGGCGTACTCGCACCCTCATCATGACCGGTGCAACTCCGCATCTTTTAAATGCAGTCACGTACATGTATCTCAAGCCATCTCAGTCGCCAAGCTGATCAAGCATCCGCTTTCATTTCGCTCTGCAACGAGCACTTAGGGTTCCCTGTAAAAAGACGGCAACGTCTGTAGGGATTTCCCTAACAAAATAACTACTACTACCCAATGCTACTACTCAACTGTTGATGTAATCCAA